ACACATATTCATTCCCCCCAGTCCAGGGGATAAATGGAGAGACCTCTGCCATAATGACCTCCATTACAGGACTCAGACCCTAGTCTACGAGAGTCCAGGAGGGCTGGAGGAAGTCATTAGGAACTGACCACGCCCCCAGCACACTGGGCAGAGTCCATTTTCCCAGGGCCATCCCCACCCCCTTGGTCAGAACGGGGCTCCTTACTCTTGCGGAGCCTGCCCAGCACACCCTGTACCCTTCTTTCACTCTTGAACCAGACTGAAGATTACCCTGGCAGCTGAGAGGACTTGAGCCCTCCTGAGAAAGGAGCAGTAGCTGGTCCCTCCAGATTACAGGTGCAGAAACTGAGTCACAGGCAGGCTCGGGCTCCAGCAGCCACGAGGACATGTCCCCAGGGAATCACCTGCCCATGTATAGCACTAGGCACAGGGGCCATTCTGCCACCTTCACTCCCAGGGCCGTCCCTGCTCCCCTCCTATACCCAGGGTGATGGGGAGGGGCAGGGATGGCTGGGCTCAGGGGAGCATGAAACACCATCCAACTCATCCGTCTGGGGTGAGGGAAGTGGCAGATTTTCCCATATTTTCATTTCAGCTGTTCCTGGGCATCCTGAACTTTGCACTCCAGTCTGAGGGCTCCAAAGAATGGCTGCCATGGCAACCGTTTCCATGTTTTTGTCACCAAGGGACTCAACACTCAGTGTGAACTCTGATGGGGGGGTGGGGAGCCTTCCAGCCCAGAGAAGTGGCTGGGCCATGTATGTTTGACTGAGCAGATGAAGGTCACCGTGGCAACTGAGTGCCCCTTAGCTAAGCAAGGGGGAGCCGCCACCCCCCGCTTCCCTAAGAGCCCCTGTTTCCTCTCCTCTGGACTGAGCTGAATACAGAATGAGCCTCCCTCAGGATGTGGCTGTTTCCCTGCATGGGACCTCAGACCCTGGCCCAGCCACAGTGTCCCCCAGCTGGGGTGGACAGGGGTGGCCATGAGGATGCTGCAGAAGGCACCTCTGGCTGGGGCCCCGGAGAAGGCAGCTTTGATCCTAGGCACTGAGCATCTATTGGTGTTATGAGCTGAACTGTGATCCCCAAAATTCCTATGTTGAAGTCCTAATTCCCAGTACTTGGGAATGTGACAGTATTTGGAGATGGAGCCTTTAAAGAGGTAATTAAGATGAAGTGATTCGAGGTGGGCTTTAATCCAATATGACTGGTGTCCTCATATGAAGAGATCAGGACACAGACACACAGAGGAACAATTACGTGAAGACACAGTGAGAATGTTACATCTGCGAGCCAAGGAGAGACGCCTGAGAAGAAACCCACCCTGCAGACACCTGAATCTAGTACTTCCAACCTCCAGAACGGTAAAAAAATAAATCGCTGTTGTTTAAGCCTCCCAGCCTGTGGTGCTTTGTTCTGGCAGCCCTAGAAAACTAATACAGTTGGAATCAGTTACTTGGGATGTTGGGCCTCGGCTCAGGGCCAGGTGGGAGGCAGACCTGGGGAGGGCCCCCAGCCATGCTCAGAAGAGCTGGCTGGACAAGGTCGGGCTTTGGGCTGGCCCTCCAGGCCCGCAGGGGCCCTTCTTACTTGCGAGAACAGGACCCTGCACAGCAGGAGGACTCACCTCCTGCCTCACCCTCCCTGGTCTGGAGCACCCCCCTTCCCTCAAGGAATGTCCTGGAACACCAGGATCCGCATCCAGAGCAGCCCCCACCCCACTTCCCCAGGCGTGGCCAGCACAGGCCTGAAGGGGACCCGCTTAACACTGAGATCACAGCCCAGAGGGGTACCCACCCCTGGACACCTTGCTGTTCTAGAGAATCCAAGGGTCAAAGCAGGGGACACCAGTCAGTTGGGACAAAGCCCTGGCCCTTGTCCTCTTACCACCTCAGCAGCTCCCAGCAGCTCTGTGGCCATGGGATGAGACAGCACAGGCCCGGGGGCAGGGGTAGGGGAGGGTGGTGGTAGGAGTCGTGTGATTATGCTGGAAAAAATCCACATTTCCGCTGCCCTTGGCAACGCCTCTGCACATTACACAGCCCACCAAGTATGAACTGCACACGCAGTGCACGGGCCAAGTCCCCACAGTGCACACACAGCTGAAAATATTCAAAATACACATTGAAACAGTGACCTCAGGCAGAGCTGCTCAGCACGCTCCAGGCGCGCTCAGCACGGCACGGCATGGCACAGTGCCGGGACTGCCACCACCTCTGACGGCCCTGCTGCTGGGAGCCAGGAATGACCGGGGTCTCCTGGGAGCCATGCATCACCCAACCGGGGCTGGGCACAGTGGCTGTGGGCAGTTCTGCCCATCCCAGGACCATGGCCCCCCAAGGGTGGGCCCCTTACACACACACACACAACACTCACGCCAGGCCAATTAGTCTTGGACCTTAGGACTCCTAAGCCCCCACTGTCCTCTCACTGATGTAGTCCTAAATAGACCTCAATGAGGCCAGAACATGGGGCCCTGGTAAGGATCCCCCACCCTGTTTTCAGAAATGAGGGAGATGCGACGACCCTCAGGAAGGCCAATTGTGAGATGGGACCAAAGCGATAAGAGACGCTGAGACTCCTTAGAGACTGGTCTGCAGGAAGAGGGTCCCAGCACAAAGCCAGAGCCGATGTCTCTAAAGCGGAGACAAGGGAGTGGCTGAGGCAGACGCTGGCCAGAAAGGTGCCCCTGGCCCCCAGCCCGCTAGCGAGGGCTCCAGCTGGGTGGCTGCTGCAAGTGAGCTGCTTTGCTTGTTCCACAGGGCTCTGCTCTCAGTGCAGACAAAAGCAGGCTTCGGGGTGTGGGAGATGGAGCCCAGGAGGCGGGATGGATGAGGCTGGCTCCAAAAAGCCCAATGGAGCTGTGGCAACCAGGGCTGTCCCCAGCAAGCTGTGGAGGAAATGCATCTGCAGGATGGAGCAGACACACACAGAAAAGCAAGGAGAGAGGGTGAAGGCTCCAGACAGCGAGGTCTCCAGGTCCCAGGAGCCAGGCTGCACAGTGTCTCCTGGCCTTGGAGTCCCTGGGCTGCCAGTATCTGTGCAGCAAACCCTCCTTTCCTGACGCGGGCCTGCAGAGCTGTTAGCAAGACTGCAGGCAGGCCAGGGCAGCAGCCGCCCCCTGCAGCAATTGCTGGGTTCACAGGAAGGCTTTTCATGCAAGGAAGCCTTCTCAGCCCTGGGTTGGGCTGTGAGCACTGACTCCGCTGCTCTAACTCAAGCCTGCTGCTCTGGTTGGCAGGGGCAAGTGCCTCGCTTTCCCTTGGCAGAAGCCTGCGCCTGGCTCTAGAGGGATGGCTGTGACTCCAAGGAAGCAAGAAGGGGGCTGAGGGCCAGCCAGGTCCATGGAGGCCAGAGTCAGCAAGAACAGCCTGTGCCAACAACATTGGACTGGTTCTGTCTGAGGGGCAGGGGGCTAGACGGCAGGCCCTGGGCAGACTGCGGGTCCTCGGTTGCTGTTTGCTGCATCCCCAGCAGGGGTGCAAGGCCCCTGCTTGTCCTTCCATAGGAGCAGACCTCCGGCCATCCTTCCCAGGGTGTCTCAACCTCTACAGAGCCCCAACATTGGGAAATGATCAGGCCGTCAAAGGCAGCCTGAGAAGTGGGAAGCTCCAGGTCCCATCCTGCACTCTGATTCCTCCAAAGGGGGGTGTGCTGCCCTGGGCAGCTCCGTCCTCTGTCCACAGTCCCATTCATTCAAAGGCTGCCATCCTTCCCCCCCAGCTCCAGCCCTGGCCCAGGAGACCTGGAGTCTGTCATCTCTGGGCTCTCCAAGGACTCAGCATGGCCACCACCTTGGACAGTTAGTGGCAGGAGGCAGGTCCCAGCTGGAATCAAAGCCCAATCTGCTGGCTGGACCTGGGGGAGTGGCCTTGGCAAAGGCGGGATGAGGGGATGGGGGGTGGGGGTGCCGGCTGTCCTCTCCCCACAAGCCCTGAGCACTGGGACACCTCTGCAGGGAGGCTTCCTGCGTTCTGGAGGTCTCCTAGATTTACGGGCTGCTCAGGGTGGGCCCCCAGGGATTTCTCAGCAGCTGCCCCTCCCAAGGAGGCTTGGGTGGTCAGCCCCTGGCCTCCCCCCTCCCAGCCATACCTTCCTGTTGGGCCAGTCCAACTAGGGAAGGCTTGTCACCCATCTGCCTCAGAGACAGCAGCCAGGATGAGTGGGGGGAGGACACTAACCCCACAGAAACCATTAAAACCATGCAGCCCCATAAATCTCCCAACATAGAAAGCGTGTCATGAGTTGCAGCTGCTTTCATAAAATGCAGCTCTGACCACATGTTTCCCAGTCCCCTGTGAAGGTAAGAAACCGCTGAGCAGGGCCAGGTCCTGTTCTCAGGGAAGCTAACCTGCCTGCCTCGTGGCTGGGCGAGCACATGGAGTGAGAGTACCGAGCTGGGGGTGCAGGGTGGCAGGGCAGGGCCAACATACCCAAGACGGGGTGTCACAGCAGCCCCTGCCCAGGTTTTGTTAAATGAGGTGGAGGGCTGGAGGTTCGCTGTGGCCAGCCCGGGCCACCAGCCACAGCCAACCTCACCCCTCCCCTGCCAGGAATCCCAGGGCTGCCAACCCCTGCCACACCCCCAAAGCCCCACCTCAGAACTTGAATAAGGCAGGCACACACCACTTGGAGTTGGCTGAAGGCTTCCCCTGCTTTCATCCTCAGTCAAAGCAGGAATGGTATGCTTCTCTCTCGCGGAACCAATAGTGCTATGGAGGCTGCCTCAGTTTCCCTTGCCAGGTCTTGGTGCTTAAGCTCTGTTCTTGGGAAGGGAGAGGGGTTAGGTGACCGAGACCAGCAGATTGCATGGGGAGCCCCAGAGTAAGGGACATCGGGAGATCTGGGAACGGGAGAGCTAAACTCAGGAAGACATCAGCCCTGTTCCTTGGGAGATGGTCATGGTCTGGCCACCTACATCCTCAGCTTGAAAGCGAGAAGAAATCAGGGGACTGGCCACCCTGCCGTGCAAGAGGCTCAGGTAGGAGAGTGGACCTGGGCCCTGTCCTGCCCCAGCTGGGAGTCCTCATCACTGGGGCTGGTCCCTCCCACAAAGCAACCTAACGGAGGGAAAGCCTGCCTTCCAGGAAAGACACCTCAGGCTGCCTCCCTCTCCTAGTCAGGAGGAACCGAAACAGCCTGGGGGACTCCTGATCCAGTTCTTGTCCCCCCCACCCCCCACACCCACCACGGGCAGGGCCAGAGCTGCCAGAGCGTCATCCTGGAGAATTGCGGAGGCTCCCCTTTCTGGACAGCCTAACACAGCCTCATGACTGTGAGATGGCTGTGACTCCCAGGAGGCGAGAAGGGGACTGAGGGCCAGGTCCATGGAGGCCAGAGTCAGCAAGAACAGCCTGTGCCAACACTGGATGGTTCTGAGATGTGCCACTACCCACACCTGCCTTCCCAGTGCAACCCGCCTCTCACCCCGGTCCCCCACAACACACACACAGAGGGCAACAGTGAGGGCAGGGCTGGCTGGCTGTGCCACCCAGCTGGGAAGGTCAAGCAATGAGTGCCCCCCTCCCCCTCAGCATCAGTGGAGTCACAGACTGGAGGAGGAGAAGGTGAGAGGCTCAGCTTCCCAATGTGGCCTTGGTCCAGCCTCCTCATCACCTCCAGATTCCTCAGGGCCCCTCAGCCTCCTGAACTCCCAGAAAGCCTGGTGTAGAGGGTACTCTGGCTGCAAATTTATACGCACTCCACAGTGGGAGTGTGGCCCATCTGAGAGCACCCCCAAACAACAGTCCACAACCCATTTTCCCAGCAAGGCTCAGGCCTCCAGTGAGCCCCTTTGCAGGGGTGAACAGCAGCCCCTCCTCCCCAGCTGGGCTGGCACTTCTGGCCTGCTCCCAGGACACCCCACACAAGCCCTGTCCAAGGAGGGGTGGGTACCTAGCAGCTACTTTGTTCCCCTTGTGTGCCCTCTGAATACCTCACTCTGTTCTAGCTTTAAGAGTCAAACCACTCTAGGGCCGGCCGAGTAGCACACTGGTTAAGAGCTGGCTTGGGATGCCAGAGGGCCCCAGCAGGGCCCCCAGCTCAGATCCCACATGCGGGCCAGTGACGCTGAGCCCTCTACAGCTAAGATGCTGAACAACAGCTCAACCTGGAGCTGGGCTGCCGTGAGTCGCCAGCGATGGCGTAGGCTGCAGCCCCTGTGGCCGTGGGTTGCCATGGGCTACCGTGTGTAGCCAGCAGCCAGCGTGAGCGGCCAGCAGCCGCAGTGAGCGGCGGTCCAGAAGCCGGCGACTGATCTGCCTCGCCCGGGAAGAGTGCAATGATGGTGCCAACTTGGGCCAGTGAAGCAACGTCCTCCACAACTAGACTGAAGAACAAAAGGACAGCAACTTGTCTGTTCCCTTTCCCTGATTCCCCAATAAAATCTTTAAAAAA